TCTTTTATATTGATTTTATTTAGTTGTATTATTTAAGTAATAAATATTTTAGTTGAAATCTTTTTTGTTTTTGTTTTTGTATTTTTTGTATAAGAGTTGCACTAATTACTAAGTTTTCTTCTTTTTTTTCTGTTAATAAAAATGTATATAAAGTTGTTGTTGTTGTTGTTGTTTACGCGTCTAAGTATTTTTACATATATTTATATATGTATGCGTGTACGGGCTAAAGTATGTTTTGTTGTTCTTACTTATTAATTTGTTATTTCTAAGTGTTTTTATTTTTTTATTAACATAATTTGTATTTCTCATATATGTATATATGTATGTATCTATGTATATTAGTTATTTATATATATATATATATTTCTTTGTATGTATAACCATTTAAAAACTACATCACAATAATTTAAGCTAAATGTCTATTTTTTACTATTATTATTGTTGTTTGTTTTTGTTGTTGTTGTTGTCGTCGTCGTCGTGTTTTATCTTTAGTTGCACATTTCACACAAGTATGTATGTGTGTGTGTATGTGTTAGTGTTTTACTACTAGCTAGCATTTTAAATTTTGCAAGTTAGTTTGTTGTTGTTGTTTTTTTTTATTTTAACATTTATTTGTTTTAAATTTTACATTTTGCAAACTAAATCTGTTAGTTTTGTTGTTGTTGTTTTGTTTTGACATTTAATTCTTTTTAATTTTTACATTTTGCAAAAAAAATTTGTTAGTTTTGTTGTTGCTGTTTTCTTTTAACATTTATTTGTTTTAAATTTTTACATTTCGCAAACTAATTTTTTCAGTTTTAACATTCTTTGATCAAATTTTTGTTTTTTTATTTCTCGCTTTTTCTTATCAAGTTATGCTGTATATATGTAGTATGTGTGTATTTTAATTCAATTACCAATATAAGCAGAAAATATATGCAGATATTCTTACTGCTAACTCAAACAATACATACATACGTATACGTATGTAATTAATAATAATTGAAAATGAAGCAGAAGCATTAAGTTGACTGCGCCTATGTGTGTTTGTTTTCAACAACACATTTTCAACTGCAGCATGGTTAAATTTTTTTCTAATTTTTACAAAATATTTGCATTTTTACTCTACTTTGCAGGCGCAGTTGCTGGCAATAATAGTGACATTTCTGTCCGTCTGCTATGAGTATCAGAAATTTAGTGGCATACAATAATTTGTTGTTGTTGCAATATAACATCCAAAGTTATAGACACATGTATCATGTACGTGTTTGTTAAAAAAAAAAAAGTTTTCCAAAAATTTCGTATTTTAAAACATGCAAAACATTATTATTATTAACTACATTGCCAACTGAGACACTTCAGTTCAGGCCCTAATTTAGTGCTTTACAAGTAAATGTCGTCTTCATAACACCATAAATATATAGTTCAATTTTCAATGCTAAATAGTTTTCTTGTTGCGCTCGCATAATTAAAAAAATAAAAAAAATTTTTTTTGCAAACTACAACAACCACAGTGTTTACTATACACACGTTTTGCCTTTACTATTATTTAATGTGCTTTAATATTTGTCATACTGCACCAGCTGATTTTTCAATGTTATTTGTCTTTACATTGAATATACATATATATGTACATATATAAAATTTACACATCAGCCGGCAAAAGTATGAATTCAAGAAATTTGTTTGCGCAGTGTTAAATAGCCACAATATTTGTTGTTGAACATACACATACATATAAAGCTATTATATATACTAAAATATATTTTTACTTTGCCTATACATACATAAAACGCAAAAAAATTGTTATTAAATCCACTAGTAGTATAAATTTTTACACATAAATATGTACATAAGCACAACTAAATATAAGTATGTGTTACATAAACAAAATAAATTATTTTATAGCTTTGCATATTTATATACATACGTATATTATTGGCATACGTAACTATAGTTAATTTAAAAAAAAGCATAGAGTGCAACAAATAGAAAAGTATTTGAAAAATATTTTTTTTATATATAAAATATATGTAAATATATTCCCACGCCATGAGTTATTTAACATTAAGGTTTAATACCGAATTTTTGCTTTTCTTTAGCAAAATGCTTGCTAATAATGTACACTGGTGTGGTATGTTTTACCATAATTTGAGGCAAGTTGCCCGTCGCACTTTTAATAAAAAAAAAATTGTGCCTGTGTTAAGACCTACGCGCTGCAGGCGTATAATAATGTTTATAATAAAAATTAAGCAAATTTATAATTGGCATGTACATATATTTATTAACATTTTATGCAAAAAATAAAATTAATGAAATAAAATATATATTCATACACTGAGCGTTAAAAAAAAGTGTATATTTAATGTATATTCATACATTTATTAGTTGTTGTGCACATTTAATGAAAAATTCAACGTGACCTAGAGCATAGAGGAAACTCCAATTGCTCATAGTTTATTATACAACAAAATACATCACATTTAAAATATATATATATATTTTTTTTTTCGAAAGCACGCATTAGTGTTGACTAATGAAAAGTTCCAGTGCATTTATTTGTTTGTTCGTAAAGATTTACGTTGTTTTCTTTTTGTTTTATTACATTCACACAATTTATTTAGCATTATATATGTTTTTCCACTTTTTTTCTTTCTAATTATTACAACAACTTATAATATATATTGAGTTAATTAAAAAAACTCGATGCCAAAAACAAAGTTCTTAAATGTATTGGGCGCAGAATAATTAGTGAAATTGTATAAATTTAGACAATTTCAAATGTGTATTTAAGTATGGTGTTATAAATTATATAAGAATGAGTGTAAAATTCAACGCTGTGGGGAGTTATATAGTATTTTATGTCAATGGCAACTTTGAAAATTTAAGAAAAGTAACAAGTTTTGTTAAAAGCATACACAGCTGTTTTCAAATTGCGATACTCTAAAAAGTGAGTTTATTTTATATATAAAAAAATTATAATTCATTGTACTTATTCAACTATAAAATTGATAACTTGAATAACACATTTCAATGCACACTCCACTTGTTTGGCGTACAAAAATGGTGAGTAAAATGTATTTATAAATTTTTGAAAAACAGTTTTAAGCAAAGTTAAAAAGAAAATTTGTTCTTATGCATAAAATTATATTTATGGAATACACGAAAATAATTAAATAAGGAATAGAGCAAAATGGTACGTATATTTTGCGGTGTTTATTAAATACTAGGATTTTAAAATAAAAAAATGGTATTTTTAATAAATATTTTTTGTTAAATTGAACTGTTCAAAATATTGATTTTAAGAAAATAAAAAAATATTTTATTTTTATTTTTATTATTAGTGGCTTTACAGCTTTTGGGGGACAAACAGGCATATATGTACGTTTAGTTGTAGATTTTAAAGAAAATCTAATTAAACAGCTTTGCATACAGCGAAGTAACTTTCTTGCGTTGCTTTTATTAAACAACAAAAAAAAGCAGCAGTGAAATTGCGTGCCTTTTCGAAGGTAAACTATTACCATAGAATATTTTCAAAATCTTCAATAAAGCAACTAGCATACAAATTCAAGTAATTATAGTACAATTGAATTTTAGCCACAAAAATATATATATTTCTCTTTTCCTTAAATATATATTATTTATTAATTTGGTTTTGAAGTTTAACTAGTGTTCAACGCGTGTGCCTAAAATATGCACTGCATAACTTTTTTTTTGTTAATTTAAGAAAAAAAGTGCATTTAATTCACTCAAATATAAAAATATTCGCTTATTCCCCGCAATTTAAAGCACTTAAAATATGTGCGTGAACTTGTAATTAAAAATTTTCAGCCCAAATGTTATTTTAGCATTGAGTTTTTTATTTTATTTTATTTTTTAATTTCATTAAATGAACTTAGAATGTATGTAATCTTTTACACATATTTATATAGTAGCGCTTAATATAAAGGCATTCAAATTCATGTATGTATAGTTCCAAAAAAGTCATTAAGTCAAATTAATTATACAAATGTATGTAGAAGCGGCGTGCAGTGTGCAAGTTATACACATACATATTTATGTTCATATATTCATTTAAAGTTATGCTTTTAATTTGTTTCATCATATTACATTTTGTATCTTTGTTTTGTTTTAAAGTACATTGTTACAATAATCACTTATTTACTTTAAACTTACAAAAAATATGCAGTTGATAAACTTATATAGGAAAGAAAATATCAATATAGGTGTATGTAATATATATGTATATTATTTAATAATAATAATTAGTTATAATAGGAGAAGTAAGTATTAATTTTGGTAGCCATATATATGTATGTATGTTGCCGTTTATATGATATTAAATGTGAAAGTGATTGTGTTATATTAAATATTATATGTGAATGTTTTCCTTTTTATTGATTTAATAAAAATTAATATTTGTGTACATTTATGAGTTCAATTGTTTCTTTTCTCGCGTTATTTATGATCTAGCAAACTACCGTTGCGTTTGATATTTCACTGATATATTAAAAATGTTTTTTCATGTCAACTTTTTTGCGTACAAAAACTACAAGTTAACCTTGCGCACTAAATTTGCCAAGCTAAAAAAAATTATTTTCATATTTATAGCGTATATAAGTGTTTATAAGTTTGTTTGTATTTTGTTTGTGTTGATACAAGTTAAAGTAACCGTCTAATATATTTTATATTATATATAATAATACACATATTATGTATTTTGCAGTATATATATAGATTTTCACATTTTTGAAATCCATTTATGTATAATTAGTCATTTCATTTTAGTTAGTTTGATTATGAATTTGCAATTTTACATTTATATTCATGTATATATACATATTAGTAGAATTTCCCTTTCTACAACTCATTCTAAAAAAAAAAAATTAAACAAACAAAATAAAAATTTGTTTCAGCACAATTGTTGTGCTCTAAGCATTCTAACCACTAATAACCACTACTTTGTATATTATACATATGTATGTATGCATTTGTGTGGTTAATGTTAAATTTCATTAGTATTTTTTTATAGTTGTTGTTGTTGTTATTGTTCGCTTGAAAAGATATTTGTTACATTCCCCAGTAACTCATTTAGAAAAGCCGTTGGTAGCGATGTTGTAGCTGTTGCTGCCGTCGATGTTGTTGTTGTTGTTGTTGCAGCGTTGGTACGTTGCAACATGTTGTAATTGTATTTAATTGTCTGTTGCATCAGCATAAACCACCAGCGTGTAAAACATAAATTTTGATTATCCCCAATGGTTGTTTGTGCTTCCGCTGCTGGCATCTCGTTTGTGTCAGCAACCGAAGTGCATCGCTTAGACGTTTGTAATTTCAAATCTAGTTTTTCTTGCTGATGTTGTTGTTGATTTTGTAGCTGCTGCATTAACAGTGTTGTTTGCAATTGTTGTTGTAAATCGCTAAAACTAGTGTTATCAGCATTATAATTGTTGTTGTTGTTATTATTATAGTTATTTTTGCCGCTGGATTTGGATTTCTTAAATCTGCTGTTGCTGCCAGCAACATAATCAGTTAGAAACGATCTGCACGGTCCAGGAATGCGTACACACACACACGTCGAAGGTAACACATTATTCATTAGTTATTATATATACACATATATAATTTTTTTTTTATAAATTTTTTTTTTTTGTAAAGAAAAGAAAATGTAAATATTAGTAAAAAAGTATATATTTATAGTATATAATGAATTATAATATAAATCTCATTTATTGTTTTCCTTGGACTCACTCGAGTGTTTTAAACCAGTTTATTCTCCACCGTACCATATGTTCGTCGGTGCGTAATGCGCATGCTTGCTAGCGGCAACTTGTGCTGGACTTAATGGACCAAATTGGCTGTACTGTGTGGGGAAATGTATATGGGCAGGTAGTGGATGCGATGGTATTACCTGCGAATGAAAATTATCTCATTATTTAGTTCCGAAAATAAAAAAAAATATCATTTAATTGGCAAAATTTTTGCACAACAATAACAAATTATATTTCAAAATTAGATATATAAACAATTTAAATGTTTTTGAGGTGGTCTGCATTGAAATGCTTGCTGTTACAAAAAGTTGTATTTAAATATATAAATTTTAGGTGTAGTAAAAAGAAATCCATTACTTTTGCATATTTATTTTTTATTTTTTCCAAGCGGTTTTTGGGTAGTCTCTAGTTCTTGAGCAATCGAAACAGTGCTTACTTGACGCTCAGAGTCGACAATGTCCACGTTTGTATCGATATTTTCGACAATAGGCCTTGCACTCCGCGAAACATTATTCACATCAAAATTACCAGAATGAAACTGAAGCTTATTTTATCTCGGCTAGTTTCAATAATGGGTTTCTTTTTACCACACCTAACATGGTTATATCAAAGAAAGTCGTGTTGGTTTCACTATTTATAACTCAAGAACGGCCGAACCGATTTGACTGGAAATTAGTGGGAGATAGCTTGGAACCAGAAGAATGACGGGTCGTGACTAAAAATGTGGAACTGACAGCAAAATGAAAAATTTACTCCTCAAACTATCAGTCCAGGCGTTCATAGCATTCATTGCTACGAAAGTACACCTGTTGAGTGCCCAATAAAAGAAATATATGATACATTCGTGAAGGCAACTGATGATGGAAATGGTGGTTTATATTTCCTGCACGTCTCTAGTGAAACAGGTAAAACATTCCTCATGTCGGTAGTTTAAGCAAATGTTTGTGGGAGATCTAACATCGCCGTACGGCTCATACGAAATAACCGCTTGCTTCAAATCATCGAATCTGTGGCGCTATGAAACTTCCGCTGACAACAAACATAAGGTAGCATCGCAGAACAATACATTTCTCTGAGCAATTGCTGACTTTCGGTAATGGTTGAGTACCAGTCGACGAATCGAGCGAATTGATTTTATTTACTCCGAAATTCTGCAATTTTGCCAAATCGAAGGAAAAACTCATCAACAAAGTATTCCCAAACATCATTACTAACAACAATCGAGTGATATAGGAATTTTGGCGACGCTTTATTTTTAGTCGCTGTAGATGACCTAAGCTACATAATTCAGAATGAGATCATTGGTACACTGCCATCAGTCTAATCGATTGACTGTGGAACATATGAAGACAAAGCCACCAACATCCAATAGAACTTTTAAACTTATTGGATGTGTCTGGTTTACCATCGCATAATTTACGACTAAGCATAAAGCTCAGCCAACGGATTCGTAGTTTTAAAGAAAGTCTATTTATTGCTTGTAAGGCGGAATAGAGTTCGCCGGGTCAGCTAGTTAATTTATAAAAAAAATAAGTTAATTACCATGTAGAAATGATAGCAAAAATCAATATATTTACATACATACATATGTGGAAAATTAACATTTTTTATTGTTCTAACGTTTACTCATCGTTGTTGTATTTATAAATGTAAAATCAATAGGGAAATAATTTTTTTTTTTATTCTAATAATTTTTTGTGTCTGACAAAAAATTACGACTGAATCATACCCTCGCAGTTGAAAATTTATCTTTCAAAACGGTGACCAGAAACTTACCTGACGACTGGAGCTGTTATGTGCTGGGGGCGGAGCGACTGCAGCCCGATTATAAGCATAAGTGGGAGTCGCCTGTGATACAAATACCGTTGGGCGTCGGTACATATCGCCCTGTGCATAAATATCCGGTTGCAGCATAACGGCTGTAGCAGCAGCTGGCGAGCCTCCAATCGGTGTATTCGCTTGATGTTGATGATGTTGCGGCTGTTGTTGTTGTTGTGGCTGTTGCTGAGCAGTTGGTGCCACTACTTGTACAGCGGTGTGAGTTTGCTGTTGACGATGATACACTTGTGGTGCACCCCACGATGGTGGCCCAGTAGTGGGACCCGATACTGCACCCACAGCCACGCCACCACCACTAACGGCTGATGATGAGCTCTTCGAGTGTGCCAATGGCGGTGCAACTGCCACTGATGATGGTGTATGCTGCACGTAGGCCGAAGCCGATGAGGCTGTGGATGTGACCTCACGTTTGTGATGTGCTGGCGGTGCTTGCGTGGCTGCAGCTGCCCATGACGAACGCTTGTTGTCGACGACAACTGAAGTGGCCTGCTGTGGTGGATATTCGTAGAATTCCGCTGGCTCCTGTTTGGTCGGCAAGTGTGGCAAACTGGCCGTTTGATTGCCTAAACTGCCGCCGCTGCAACCAACACCGCTGCCGCCATTGTTGTAGCACTCGTTTTGGGCCATGGCCAGAATGCGTTTCTTTTGCGATTGACCCGGTTCATATTTAATATTTGGCTGCTGCTGTTGTTGTTGTTGCTGCTGTTGTTGTGGCTGTGAATGTGTTTGTTGTACAGGCTGTTGATATTGTTGTTGCTGTGGTTGTGGCTGTGAGGCTTGTTGATGTTGATGAGGTTGCTGATGTTGTTGTTGCTGTTGCGGCTGCTGATGATGATGATGGTGATGATGGTGGGATGATGAGGCTGGCTGTTGCTGATGCTGACTTTGATGCTGTGGTTGTTGCCTCGGACTATTGCCACCACTGTGTGTATGACTGCCACGACGACGCAACTCCTCTGTGTCGTTGTTGTCACCTACGGTTACGCATGGGATTACTAACTGTACGTGTTTACTATGACGATGAGCGGTGCTTGCGATTGAGGTTGAGGTGGAAGAGGAAGTCGACAGTGTGGGAGGATAGGGATTGGTTGTGGGTAAGATTGAAGATGGATGAGTGGAGGTATTGCTAGGGTTTATGGACAATGAGGAAGTGTTGCTAGCAACATGATGTTGATGATTGTTGCCGCTATTGTTGCTACTGTAATGGTGGTGGGTGGAAGTAGAAGTAGAATTGGAATTGGTGTTGGTTGCGGAAGTGGAGGCGGAATTGTGTGAGATGCTGCCGCAATTGCTAGCCGCATGTTGCTGCTGCTGTGGCTGTGACATTGGCTGTTGATGTTGATTGCCAGCAGCATATTGGGGCTGCATGAGCGTCTGTGTCGGCGTCTGATGGTGATGATGAGAGTTGTGTTGTTGATGGTGATGATGATGATGAGAATGTGAGTGCGAATGTGGAAGCGGGTGTGTGTGTTGCACACCATGTTGTTGTGCCGAGCATGCGGCGACCGCGGCGCCACCAATGGCAATATCTGCTCCGGATCCTGCACCAAATCCAGTTCCACTTCCGCTTCCGCCCTGCACAGCATTTGATGCTGTACCACGGGCAGCGGTGGCATATTGATTACTGTTACTACTGTTATTGCTACTATTATTGTTGTTATTGTTATTGTTATGATTAATGTTATGTACGCCACCGCCTTGACTATTGCTATTAATGTTACTGGTAATATTGCTATTGCTATTGCTATGGCTATGGCTATTGCTACTGTTGCTACTGTTCGAACTACTTGGACATTTGATGCTGACATCAGCGTTATGGGTTAGATTTGAATGCGAATACGAGGAGTTCGTATGCGTTTGTGGCTCATGTGATAACTTGGCCTTTGAATGATTAGTGATGCTACTAGTAGACGTTGAAGTGGATGTTGATGTATTACCATAGATGTTTGCCGTCTGATGATGATGTTGATGCTGCGACTGAGGCTGCTGTTGGTGCTGTTGCGGCTGAGGCTGCGGCGGTGCCTGCTGTTGCACTACACTTTGGTGGTGATGATGATGTACATGCTGCGGTTGTTGCTGTGACTGCGTGTGGTGCTGATGGCCACTGGCTCGACACGAAGAGGACGATGAAGAGTGCTGCAATAGAGCAGGGTTCGTCTGTGATTGGGCATGTGCACGTTGTTTCATTACAGGCGCTGCAGGAGCCGGTGCCGGGGCCTCGTTTCCTTCATCTTCGCTATCCGAAATCGTAATAACTGCTGAGGGCGATGGTGTGTCGTGAATAGTAATAGTCTGTTGCTTTACAATAGCACCGTGATGCTGATGCGTGTGCTGAGCCGTTTGCTGTTGTTGCGTGTGGTGAGCCTGATGGTGATAATTGCCACCACCAACACTGTTGTTGCCACTGCAATTATTGACAATGTGATGACCATTGCTACTATACCCGCCGCCGCCAGCACCACCGTTGCTACTGCTGCTACTTATGACATGTTGTTGATTGGCTGAGTTGCTGCTGTGATGATGGTGTCCACCACCACCACTGTTGCTGCTACCTTGGCTGACAATGTCTGCGAATAAGAATTGTGCAAAATATAATGAAATATACAAATTTTGGAAAACATAAATAATGTCTTCCTTACTGTTAGATGAGGCCGATGTAATAACCGGACCAGCATTGCTATTATAGCTGCTGCCATAGTTGCAATTGTGATGATTATGGTACTGCGGCGAGACGTGTGAGGCTCGATTATAACGTTGCTGGTGTGGTGGTGAACTCTCTTTAACACGCTTTTTGACCGGTGATAATTGATTATTCTCCTTTTTGTCGTGGCGTGGCACACGATATGAGTTGCTCTTAGTGCTGCAAATCGAAATTTAATATTGTAATATATTTGCACACCGAAAACTCAAAAGCTTACTCAACCGCAAGCAAAACTGCCTATACTTACACTAAATGCTGCACTGGCGACTCCTTCTTGAGATCATTTCTTTGTATATTCATATGGTGTTTCGGATAAATCTCCTCAACATTCAAAAACGGTGCGGAATCGACAATCAGCGAATGGGCTGGAGCCTGCTGCCAGGATGGGACCAAAGCCATCTGTCGTCCCGTTTGCGGCCAGGCCACACCGCTGGCTTGTACACGATTGGTCAGTAACATGCGTTGACCGGATGCCGGCTCCACCATTGATACAGGTACAGGCACATTCACATACTGCTGTGGAGGAACCTTTGAAATGTTTAATTTTCATTATTTCACAAAAAAGGGCAAGGCGCGTCATGTATACATACCTGTAATGGTGGCTGCATTGTGGCGCTGCCAACCACGACATGTTTGGTGGGACTGGGCATCGCCTGATAAGACGATGGGCACAAAATATTCAACTGATGTTGGAAGGCATCAGCACGTCCTTGTGTATATTGGCGGCCAACATTGCGACCGCCGTAAATTTGGTATAGCCCTTCGTAGGCAAGTGGACGTTCACGCACCAAACGCTGCACTTGACTCGTCAGCTGATTGTTGATGGTAAACGTCATATTCTCAGTAGTACTGGGCACAAAGTTTGTAACCAAAGTAGAAGCTGGTTGCACGCTAAACAAAAGTTTATGATAGAAAAAACATTTTAGTAATTTATGAACATAAGAATGAAATTCTTAATCAATTTATAAACTTACGTATGAAAATCACCACGACGGCACACTTCCATCATCTGTACCGAAGCTTTCACATTATTACAATAGACATAGTCGACCAGGTGAGTGAGGCGTACGAAAGAGTGATTCAATGCCTCAGCCGGTGTAAGACGACGTTCCTGATCAATGGTTAGCATACGTTTAAGCAAGTCAATGAATTCGCGACGATCAGTCTTCTCGGCCAGCAATTGACCACCCTCCAAGTCAGTGGGCACATTTACTTGACCAATATCGTCTAAACAATTAAATATATATTTGCGTGCCTCCTTGCTTTTTGTGTTTGTCTCTGCTTCGTGCTCCTCGGTGGTCTTCAAACGCCAAAACGGATAGGTTGAATCGACGTCGCGATAGAAAAACTTTGATGTCTTTGAGGCGCTATTCAACATATGCTCCGTAGGTAAACCTTGGGTTTGTGATATGTACCTAAGGGAAATTCGTAAATATATAGTATATTTATGTATACGATAAATTACGAAATTTATAGGCGTACCTAATTTGATCGAACTCAGAAGAGCCCGGATATAAGGGCCAACCCAAGAACAGCTCAGCCACAACACAACCCAGCGACCACATGTCGATTGCCTCACAAAATGGTAAGCCCAAAATGATTTCCGGTGCGCGGTAGTAGCGGGATTGCAAGTATGTATTGCATACGGTTTTACTGACATGCGAAGCACTGCCAAAATCAATCACCTTCACCCTAAAATTGTGAAATAATTTAAAATAGAAATTTATAACTAAAATCAAAAGTTTTCGAATTGGTTTTTAGTCATCTAACTTACCTATACGGTTGCCGTACGGGATCTACCAACATTATATTTTCCGGCTTCAAGTCCGCATGTATCAAACCAAGTTGCTTCAGTTTCAGCAATGCCGTTAAAACCTTTAGATTATTAGATTAATGAATATAGTAACACAATATATATACTCAATACTAAATTATATATGTAAAACACTATATTATGTTAATTAAATAATATATTTATTAAATAAGCATATGAATGCCAACTTGCCTGCTCTAAAATGGGCCGTATGTATTTCAAAGGTAACGGTGAAAATTTATTTTGTTTGAGGAAATCATACAAATTCTGTTCAAGCATTTCAAACACCAAACACGTATGGTTTTTGTGCTGGAAACACTCGAAAGCACGTACAAAATTGAATTCATCGGCATTCTCCTGACTAAGTCGCGACAAAATCGAAACTTCAATCTGTCCTTGACGTGCATATGACGGATGGTTCTTTAAGATTTTAATAGCTACAATTTCAGAGGTGCCGCGCTTCCAACATTTCACCACCTGACCGAATGTGCCGCGACCCAGAAACTCCAAAACCTGTTAAAAACAAAAAAAAAGTTATTACAAAAAAACAATAACAACATACACTATGCACCAATATGATGCAAGCCAACGCACCTCATACTCAGCGGAAAGCGAATAGAGCACCTCATGTTGCACCAATTGATAATCGCCATCTGCGCCGCTACTCGAACGCTTGCTGGGGGGCTGCGTATTGGCGTGCCCCCCAGATGTGGCGACTTTTGTGTGCGCCGTCTTGAGGCTGTTGCTGGTCGCTGTTGCCGCCGCCACCGCTGCTGAATTGTTGGTTGTCGTTTGCGCTGAAACAGTTGCAGCTGCTGCTGCTACGGCAGTTGTGCTACTTATAACACCGACAAAGATAGCTTCGTTGCTGTTGCTGTGTGAATTCGAGGCGCTAGCGCCAAGACCGTTGTACGAGGACGATGTGTAGGAATCGACGCAACCACAATCACACACTGTAAATATAGTTAGAGGAAAACTTTAAATTAGTACACTGTTTTTTCACAGCATTTTCTACATTTTTACATTGCGTGGTTGAGCCCAAGAATAAAGCTAAGAAACCAAAAATCTTAGAAAAAAAAAATACTGCAAACTGGATAGCCGAAAACGGCAGCTCTCTATGAGTATAAACTCTTCCACGGTGGAAGCAAATATAAACATAATAAAATGAATTTGGAACTTGCAAACCTTCCGTCTTACTATCTCCGAGCTCTAAACAACAATTTCACTCATTTATATTTGTATTTTTGTATGTATGTATGTATGCACAAAATGCACAAAAACATAACACTAGAACTATTCATTAAACTACGCGACAATATTATTAAACAAAATTCGTTGTCATACAATTTCCGGCAACTAGAGAAAAGAAGGAAAAACTACTGAATGTCTGCGACCAACGCGACGACGACTGATGTTATGGAAAACAGTGGAAATTGTATATATATATATTTTCGCGAATGACATATATATATATATATATATATATATATATATATATATATGTATGTATATATGCACCCATGTACCAGGTAGTAAATTTGATAAGGCATTACATTTGGGTTGTGAAGAGGTGATGCAGATCAACTCTTAAAAAAAAAAATTGCTCTTCGTGCCGTGAGAAATAATTTTGACAATTACTACGCTCAATGAAACATTAAGCAAAGAACGAACTGGTATTTTCTAGCACGTGATAAAAACTGGGTACCTGAAATAACTGCTTATTTGGTAAGCGTAATGGTAAGGTCGCAATAACCAAAATACCGTTGCTCGCAATGGTATATGCAAAGGATATAATGATACCTTACCTTAGCCGTACTTTGTCATGGCCGTGGTAATTTTCAGCATTGCATTCACGCTTAAAATTTTTCTTTGCTTCCACGGCCTTACCATTTGCTGCTGGGTATAAATACATATGTATGTACATATGTAAGAACACAGGTACAGGAAAACGCATTAACAGACCAACAACAATAAGGACAAAAAATGTGCGACATTTCTTTCAATTGTTGTTGTCCTTGAGCAGCTTGAGCATTTCAGCAACTAATATTAGCACTCACACTCGTTTCTCGCTCATTGCTCTAGAATTTTCGAGCATTTTGAGCAAAAAGTTTGACTTTTTTCAGGAACTCATGGAAAGATCCATGAGTCAAAAATTATATAAGGTAATTTTATTTCAAAATTTTTGACACTAAATGTGTTTGCTCAGAAATGTGGGAACTTGCCACTTATAAAATTTGCAACTTTTGAGTTTTTTCAATTAGTTTTGGGATTATCTTCCAAGCAGATCCTACAATACATACATACGTGTAATGTATAAAGCCATTTTTTACTTGTTTTCGAAACTTGGACTCATAAGATTTGCCAACCATATGCAAAAAGTCCAGGGTAGAAGGATGGACTGATTCTCAAACCACTTTCAAAGTTGTCCGCCATCTATTTCCCGGAAATTTTTTCTTCGATTGCTTAGTAGAGCTTTCATCTCTAGGCATCAATTATTTATCTCCTGAACTTCGTCAAATACAAGAAGTGGTTTAATCATCTGCTCCAAAAAACCTAAAATTTCAATATCATAGGCAAACTATAAATTTTCTTTACAACATCTCTAAAACTGTGAGCCGTAGTCAGTCAGCTCCTCATTTTCTTTCTGACACTTTCTTACAATTTAATAAAGGTGTAACACAAGAATCACGAAAGGCATACTATGAACGATTGGAAAATACAATAAAATACGGATAAAAAAATATGAAAATTCTCCACATAATTTTGAATAAGAATGGTAGATTTTTTTAAGAGAAAATTAAGCACGAAAAAGCCGAAACACGTTTAATGTCAGATAGCTATGAAGCCGACTGCGAAGAGAGAAAGAAACTACCTTTAAACAATTGTATCACGCTTATTTCTATGGTATAATTTGAAATTTATCTATGCAAAGCGAAAAACTCTTTGAAATGCTGCAAAAATTTTGACAAACAAAATAGAAAATTTATATATTTAAAAAAGAAAAAACATTTCAGCAATTGAACGAGTATCGAGAGCTGCTCCTACTCCTACTGTTCAATACCCTAATATCTAGAACTCTAATATGTACATACATACAACGTCCTTAGTATTATACATTGAACCTATAGGAAGTGTGGAAAATATTTATCTTAGAATTGTCGAAAATTAAAAGGCATAATTTAATATTACATAGAACTACCCTGTGCTGAAGACCGTTCAAAAAAAAATTCATAACATCATTGTATCTACAGATACCAAAGGTTGTTGCAATAAAAGTGATATTATTTGTAAGGAAATTCAACTAAGCTCTGGTAATCGCCAAGAATTGATGAGGCGGTGACATCTCGCACAGGTTCTGTTTCTCACGGTGAGCTTGACTCAACGTCGAAAATTGATGAAGCAGTAGACTTTGACTTCAAAGTCTGTAATGACGCTTTTGAGGCCTCGTGCCCTCTATCTATCCCATCTGGAAAAAATGACCCAAATGGTGAAATAACGAAATCTCTGAGCTAAGAAAAAGAAGTCGAAAACTCTTTAATGAAGCCAAAAGAATGAGCTCGTGTCAATCTTATAAAGCATGTCTGAAATCTGTCAATACATCTATAAAGAAGACAAAATGTGATTTTTGAAAGGTCTTCTGCAGCGACGGTGACAGACTAAGAAAAGTTCCATCCAAAAGCTCCGCCATCCCATGCTATATCCAGAAACCGGATGGGGAATGGACTACATGTTGTGAAGAAATGCTCATGAGCACTCATTTTCCGGGATGTTCCATCGTTACGACCACATTCCACGCATGGAAGGTGAGCGCATGGCAGATGAGCGCATCTCTGATATTAGCAGCATCGTATGTCCCCAAAGGGTGGAAAGTGCAATAAAGTCATTCCTGCCCTTTAAATATCCACGACCAGCTGGTATTTTTTCCGCTGAAATACAAAGGGCCGATGACATCATATTCCTACTTCTACGCAAAATTCAAAACACCTGTTTACGTGAAGGATATATTCCCAAGGCGTGGACCAGGGCCAAGGTAGTTTTTATTCCAAAAGGAGAAAGAGCCAACCACGTCAGCCTTAAGGACTTTCGGCCCACTAGCCTTACCTCCTCTCTCTTAAAAATCTTTGAAAGGCTGCGTGACAGCTACATACGCCGTTCAAAAATATTTTTCCTGCATTTGTGATAGAGGCTCTTCAAAAATTGGGTCTCCAGCAGTCCATAGCAAATCTTGTAGGGTCTCTTCTGAGAAACAGGATAATTTTCGCAGAGATGGGCAGCGCCAGCGTTACCAGACACACCACAAGAAGCACCACTCTAGGAGGAGTTTTATCGCCACTGCTGTGATGGTGAGGTGGCATACGCTGCCTAACAGCGAAAGGTAAACATACACAAACTTTAAGTGATCTCCTCCAAAATGCTCTTTACATTGTTAGAAACTGTACACTGGATTTATACATCGGTTGTTAGACCAATCCTATTCTACGGCGTCACTGTGGTGGTCAGCACTCGATAAAATTACTTTCATGAGCAAACTACAGAGAGTATAACGATCGGCGACTATCCTGGTAACAGGGGCACTTCCATCAACTCCCTCGAAAGCGAAACTACAAGCGGGCTGCAATGCAGTCAGACTGATTGCTGCTCAACCTTGGAAGATTTGCAATATAGGACATACCAAGTGCCAAAGGAGCTAAACCACACTACCTCCTGCATGTGCTTCGAAAATCGTTTCTCCACGAGAATCCCCAACGGGTGCGAGTGGGAAACTACCAGCGCCCCCGACCAGGAAGCCATAGCCATCTTAACAGATGGCTCGAAACTTGATGGGAAAGTGGGATTTCATTAAATATGAGTATAAGATTACTAGACCACTGTAGCGTTTTCTAGGCGGAACTCTTTGCGATCATGGAGGTTGCTGATTGGTTGCATAAATCTATGGCAGCAGGTCAATCGATTCCAATATACTCCGACAGTCAAGCTGCAATCAAATCCCTCCAATGTAATGGCACCACGTCAAAAGTGGCCATAAAATGTCAAAATCTTTCTCAACAAACTCTCTACTAAATATAGCACTGCCGTTGTCTGAGTACCTGGACACAGGGACATCCCAGGCAACACACGATGCTGGTTTACCCCTGTCCACGGCAAAGCACATGCTTAAACTGGCTTTTACCAGAGAAGCTTATTCAAGATGGCTGAACGAGATCACGTGGCTGAACGAGATCACGTGCAAAGTGACCAAACAGCTATGGCCGAAGCTGGACGCGAAAAATCCTTCTAGACCGGTTCTCTACTAGCATAACGACGTGCATAATAGCTGGTCATTATTCTAATGATTTCTACCGCAGAGATGAAGAAGATGGGGGGAAACCATTGAGCACTACGTCTGCCACTGTCCAGCCTTGACATCAGCGCGATACTAATTTCTTGGGAAACTTTTCTTTGATTGTCTCGCTGAGATAGCCTCAGCGAATATTGGAAATCTGGTTGCACACGAAATGGTTCGATCATCTGAGAAGGTTTAAGGCAGGAGCCTCAGCGGTATCACAATGGGCCTATTGGCTTAAGTGCGCTGGCAACAGCAGCCGCATCAACACAACTCAACTCAACCATTGCAATAGTGATTAGATAATTAAAAATATTAAGCTCTGTTTTGAACTAATTATTTTAATAAAATCGTCGTTGAAATATGAAATTGTATTGTAACTGATCTCATACTATGTTTGAGCAATCTTCCAAAGCATTTCCATTGATAATGCAAAAACAAAGTAAAAATGATTTAAATCCAAATTAACTTCAACGAGAGGAGTAATGGAGAAAACTGAACTAATAATCAATATGCGAAGGTATTGAAAAACTAATCAGTTTTCGAAGTGAAAGAAATCAAATTGAAGCCAAACAGGCTTAAAGTATAAAGCAAACGCAATTAGTTGAGTTTGCGTTCGTGTTGAACCTG